AGTTTCAGTGATCCACTTACATTCTAAAGCTTTCCAGCTACTGAAGGAGCATCAGGAGAGATATTTCAGACTACTTTCCAAACAGATACTATAGAAGTTCTCCACAGAGAGATCTCAGGAGCTTTTATAAAACAAGAGCCCGAGTGCTTCCATAGTTGCTAAGCAATCCCTTATCTCTCTCTAGAACTCACATTTAAAACATCACAGGAACTTTTAGAGCTGGTCATTTACTAGTCTTTCATTACCCCCAGCAGAGTTGCTCTGCTGAATAACATGAACTGAAAGCTTCTATAAATTACGTGACAAGTGAAAGCAGGCAGATTTTCTTTCATATACACTGCACATAAGGGTATACCTACTTAAATCTATGCTTAAACGTGATCATTTTCTTGCACACAACTTCTGATTCTGTGGGGTTTTTCATTTATTTTTTTGAAGAGCAGAAGTAAAAAAAATATTAAACCTCCTACAAGGAAGTTAAATGATTCTCCCTGTCTTACAGAGTAAGAATCCCAAATACCTTCAGCAGTTGGTTTTTTTTTTTCTTTTGAAGAGTGACAAAAGGACAACCTCACACTAGCTCCTTAAATTCTTTCTGGAACTGGCTTCCAACCTCAAAAGCACATTCCAGATAGACTTATTTTACCTTTCTCTAAAGAAATTCTGTTTTTACTATCACAGAACCCAAATGACAAATTTCATAGCCCCTGTTCACCTTCTGTTTAGGAAGGGAGTCTCAAAACAATCTCTACTCTTCTACTATTATCAAATCTGACTGTATTTGGTTCCCACCTTTGACCTCATCAGCCACTCAGAAATCCCTGTCTGAACACTTTCCGGCTGGTCTCCATGCATGCAGATGACATCATTTCCTGTTAAGTACACCACAAAATGCGACTCCTTATCATCCCTGATTAGTCAGACAGCTTCATGCACAACCCACAAAACAAGCAAAAACCAGCTATAAGTAATACTGTAGCTCCTTAGTTGTCAATAATACCCTGCTTCCTACTCCTTCTATGTGCTAGCTGTGGTAGCTGGATTTATTTACCCACGCTGAGGTTTAAAAATACTTCTTTCCTTTGTCATTGTTTGTTTAAGGATTGCTGCTATGTGCAGTTCACAAACGCCAAAGCTCCATGTCAAGGGTTACTTATCTTGCTTCTGACTTGCCCCCAGGCACTAAAATTGGCTCCTGATGCTCTCAGAGGGAGAAGCTTCCAAAAAAGTGAAGTCACTCCTTGAGTGACCATGTGCCACAATACAATATTTCTGAAACATCTAGACAGATTCTATATAATTTTTATACACATTAAGACTTTGCAGCCCAATAAAAAGGAAATAAACTGATATTTTTAATCAAATAAAACACCATGGAGGTAAAAACACCACCACAACATAACTAACTTTCACAGCAGCATGCAGAAAACAAGCACTGTTTTTTCTTACTTGTATTTAGATTAACATAAAGCATAAAGCCTTTTCAGAACTTGCTTTCTAAATTAGACAAACGTATAAAATCACTGGTGGAGTTGTCACAGGGTGTCTTATTGAACCCCTTCACCTGTTCCTTGTCTCAGAGAGAATCATATATAGAATATGTGTATAGAGTATATATAGAATATATATGATTCTCTCTGAGAATACATGTATATACAGAATATCCCACGTTGGAAGAAAACCCCAAGGATCACAAGTGTACAACTTCTTATTTTGTGGTACCCAAACCTGCATGCAGTGCTTGAGGTGAAGATACACCAGTGAAGGGCAGAGCGGGACAATTCCTTCCCTAACCTGATACAGCCCAGGGCACACTGCTGGCTCACGTTCAACTTGCCATCAACCAGAAGCCCCAGATTCTTTCCTGTGGGGCTGGACTTCAGCTTTTCATTCTCTCATCTGCACGTACAGCCAAGGTCACCCCCTTCTCAGGTGCAGAATCTGGCACTTGTTCTCGTTGCACTTCACGTGGCTGGTGATTACCCAGCGCTTCAGTTTGTCAAGATCTCTCTGCAAGGCCTCTTCACTTGCAAAGGTGTCAATACTCCACCTAATTCAGTATGCACTTGAGTCCTGCATCCAGAACATTTATAAAAACATCAAAGAAAACTTGCTCTATAATGGAGCTCTGGGGAACTCCCTTAGTGGCTGGTCACCAGCCTGATGTAAGCTCATTTACTATATATAACCTTTTGGGCCAGCTGTTTACCCATAGTATAACGCAGTTGTCTAGCTGTATGCTAGATATTTTGTCCAGAATGATGCTGTATGAAACAGTTTTGAACACATTGTGGCACTGCTCTGGAAGAGATGATGCTTCAGAGTGTCTCTTACACTCAGCAAAGGCCGCAAAACCCTGGATAGTCTTTTGCTCCCACTGATTTCCATGCTTTTCTAATGTAAGAAGTTAGAAGAATTGATTCTTTTACCCTTCCCCTGTTCCATCAGCCCAGAAACCTACTATTTTGAAGTTATTTAAAAACCTGATGGATTGCCTTTACATGAAACTCCAACGCTTTTATTACCAGTCCCATTTCAATGAAGTAAAACTTCAAAGTGCAAAGCATACAGAGAAAAAAGTATTGTACTGAGTTCTTTGGGGTAAAAAGTTAGCAACATTGTACTACTGAAATGGAATTCTTTGATATTTCACTCTTGTTTCAAAATCAGCATTCTTCATTACAGGTTAACAGAACACACAACATACTAAAGAACTGAACAAATCCTTTCAGTATATTCATAAATATTTCACCCTCTTTCCTTCCCAGCTTCTCAGCAAAGCATTGTAGGGACAGCATAATCCAGATTTCTAGCTATGTCTTCATATGTTAAATGACAAATACAGAGTTACAGACCAATGATGAAGAACAAACCAAAACAAAACATTGCCACTTCAGCCACCAGCCAGAAGATACAGCTACACTAGGTCAATTTTCTGCTGAACAGTTTCAGACACCCTCCTCTGACTATCATGCTCGTTTTCTAACCACACTGTGAATATGTTTTTTGGTTTCATAATGCTCTGATGCCTAAACTGTGAGCTACTCCGGAGAACAAATTGTTGCCTGACATTTTCAGATCTGTTCAGATTTTCTTATTGTTATTACAATGGTTAAAGAGCCAAAATGCCAAATGATAAGGAAGATTTACTTCCAGTGAGGGAAGTTACTATTCCAGGGTGAAAAACATTCCATACTGCGAACTCAGATACGAAGCTAATCAATTTCTCAGTACTAGGGGTATGCAAAACATAACAGGTCATAAAAAATTCCTGTTTTCAGAGCTTCAACAAAAGGGGGAAACTTCTGGCAGATTCTGCAAGAGTTTGAAATCCACCATGACATGCAAATTTCTTCATATTTTGCAGAGGAAAGGCAAGAATAAAGAACACTCCAAACTTCATCCAAGCTACCTCTTCCTTTTGAATGTTTTTAACTTCACTGATGTAGGCGCTGTGAAAAAATCACAATTTCTTTTGGGAAGAGACTCTTGCTCTGTGTTGATACCAGAAGATATGAATAGCTGTGAGCTGAACTGATAGCTGTTTTCAGAATGGGTGGAATTGAGGATGGTGCTATTAATTCTCTTTTCACCAGAAAAGAGGTAACAGTTAGCACAAAAGAAACATGAGAAATCCTTCATGTAAGAAAGGCTGTAAAATGTCTTGTAAGGAAAAGCTAGCCTACGCAACTTCTCACAGTGAGCTAACATCAACAACTCTGTCTTCATTCACAGCTCTCTGACATCATCAGCCATTTAAATTCCAGTAACAGAAAGTAAAATGTTAATACTTTGATGTCATCCCTGAATATGGCTTCCTCTCTTGATGTGATTTACCCAAAGTACGCAGAACATGAGACTCATACCTACCATCTTCTATGTTCTTCATTTTTCCTTTCTCCCTTGACAGCTGGCGTATACAATTATTCTAATTTAATCTGTTAATGAAGCAAACTCTAAAAGTAGGGGGTTGGTAGGTATAAATAGCATAAAGGTATTTAAGTTCAGCCTTGATCTTAACAGGGTCCCTCAGGAAGAGGCCTTAAGATTTCCTCACGTTTCCCCTATTTCCTCTTTCTTAAGACTAGCCATGCCCATGATGGCTCTGCACCTCCTAGTCAGCTTGGGAGCACAACCAAGTGAAAAGACCTGAAAGATGAAGGCTAACTGAATGTGATTTGTGTGAAGTGTTAGATTAGATGGTTTATTAGGAATATTTATTTTATAATTAAACTCCATTTTTTGTTGTAAAGGGACACCTATGTGCAGCTCAAGAATCAAAATCTCCCATTATGCTGGTGCTGCCACACCACACATGAATTTCTTTTTTAAATCCTGGCAGTTTTGATTTTAAATGAATCAGTCAGAGATGTGGTGAAAGCAGCATGCAAACATTAGCATTTGAATGCTATTCTTCAATTCATTTTGGTATCAGTGAGTGCTGCAGCAGAAACAAAACTAAGGGAGGAAGTTAGAAAGGTAAATCATAGGAAAAACATATGCCTGATATACTGCTGCTTCTGAAGCCCCAAAGTGGAAGAATGGATTGGTATCACAGTGTTAACTCAGCAGGCTTATATTCATTGCTGTGCTGTCTCTACTTGGTTCTGTGGGAAAGGCAATGGGATGGAGGTGGCAAGGAGACAAGAATGTATTCCCAACCTTAAGACCAGTTTGATATCAACCTCAGCAGTCATGACAGCAGTTTGATATGGAGTGCAAACTCCACAAGAGCTGTAATCACAGGAGTAACTGAAATGGAGATGCTCTGTCAGCCTCTTCCTCCTGTTTCTCCCTGGACAACAATTGTTATTGCTGGGCAAACTGTGCTTACTATGTACAGCAGTAAGTATCTCTGGCATATGATACGTTTGTGCTTTTTGATATTCTCAAAACATACAGCAGGAGCAGAGATGTGGTTTGCAAATCATCGGCAGGGGTCTACACATCTTTTGTGCTGACAGATATTGGACTAAAAGAATTCAATCTTGTTCACTTACCTCTATTAACATATTTCCTGGATGTTCTACAGATGCCTCTGCTTCTGCATCCAACACATTCTGCTTTGCTTCAAGCTTGAACACTGAAAAAAATGCTCTGTAGCTCTCTGCATATTCCAAAGGCATGCTCTTTAATCTGCAGAAAAAACAAACAAACAATACAGTTCTTTTTTTCCTAGGACCATTCCCAGAAATCTAGAATAAATACCTGAAGAACACATACTGATTCCTCATTACTGTAACCCTCTACACCTATCACGGATGTCAACATGTTGATGCTGTCAGTATTGATAAATAAATTACACGTCGTTCCTCTCCAATGGTCTGCACTGTAAAGGGGAACAATGTTAGGCCACACTCCAAACATATACTGAGACAACTGAAACCCTAACAACCAAAACTGGCAGTGGGACTGGAAGGAAGTGCACGTTATTCCTCTGCTTACACACTATCCTAACCCATTCAGCTCTATCAAAGGTTCCTTTCATAGTAGCAAAGGAAAAGCAAAACAGCACCTGTCATCTTCTGTCTGAACTTACATTTTAGTCATGGAAATCAGAACTTTTATCCTATTCTACACCAATGATATAGAATATTTTATGTACAGAATATTCTATTCTATACCATATGCCCTGCCAGTAGTATGGCAAAAACTTGGTTTGGTTTCCTCATGGACTCCTAGCTGAGCCCAGAGAAGCATCTCACTCCCACATTCAGTCATAACTTGAAAAAGATATGCCAAAGAGGCTGTTCAAAACGTTCACTAGCCAGGGCAGGAAAAACAAAAACATGAACAGTAAGCCATTTCCCATTCCTTTCCATGGAGGCTACTTCCAAACCTTATACTCAAGCCTAAAACAAGTTAATTCAGAGGGCAGAATAACAAATCCCCTTGTCTGCCCTTCCTGCCCGGGAAGCTGTGAGGGAAGGGAACACCCTTCTTCTGATAAACACAGACCCGGCTTCCACTCCGGGCTCACACAGATTTGATAGGCAGACTGAAGAATGGTAATTTCTCACTCGCAGAACACCTTTAACTTGGCTGTGATATTACACACAGCATACATAAGACAACACTGGCTGTAAAGCCCCCAGCTCAGAACCTGAGCAGGAGAACAAATTGCAATACCTAGGATTTTTTGAATAATTGCTCAGCTATGTAGACACAGTATCCTTACAGGCAAATCACTGCAGACAGAGGAGAAATAGAGGAGCCAGTACAGTTCTTTCCTGAACTCAGAACTAGAGATGTTTCCTCTAGAAAAAAGAATGACAAAACAGCACAGAACACTCTCACATCACTGGATTTTTGAAAGGAGTTCACATGATGAAGCTACAGCAATGAAGACAAATATAATTCATATAAAATTAGGAAATATGAGTTAAATAATCTAAGAACTTCGACCAAAGCAAAAGCTAGACCAAAAGTAGATTTTTCCAGGCCAGAAAAAAAACCCAAAACCTGTGTAGAATCAGTGGTCACACATGAAGCAGCTTAATTTAATCCAGTATGTGCAGATCATAATGCTTTGCACTTGCACACAAGGATGAAATAACATTTTGAAAATTCAGTTTGAAAACACTTCAGTACAACATGTTATAAACTGGATGCTTTTTTTTTTATTTTAAATCCACTTCTCCAAACTCTAAAAGGGGCTCAAGAAATCTACTTTTCCAGTCCTTGTTTCATATGACCAACATGGCACATTAAGTATAGTTCATCTGAAAATAACACAGGATAAGAGAGAGAACTGTAATTCCAAGATAAGGTGAAAGAGTTCATTTATGCTGTGAAGAAATTCCAAAATCAGTACCACGTTTACTTAAAAACATATCTCAGTATACGATCAAAATCAAACCATGAATAATCACAAAGTAGTCCACACAAAAGGCCTGGAAAATAACTCAAGTTCTACAGCCAAACTATAGAACTGTCTCCAGAATTTCGGGTTCAAGCCTCTAGTGTATGCACCTCCTTCCACCTCCTGTAAAGAGAGCGCACTTGTCACCTCCCTGCTGATTGGATTTAGAAGCAGAGCAGATCAGTGATTTTTCCAGCAGTTACTGACACACCTTCAGAAAAATCTGTCCTCGGATGAACAATTTCTCCCAGTTAAAAACAACAGCATAAAGGAATATGGCACAAAAAAGTTTAGTATCGTGTATAATTTTTCACTGCGTGGTTTTGCCCAAGGGTTTTCACTTGGCATTCTTTGTCTCAGAAAGTCAGAATACATCTTACTTCCTCTATGAGTGTCAGTAAGTGGAGGAAGTGGCACAGCGAGTGATTTCTGAAAGCCTTGCCCCTTTACACCTTTACACCATAGCACTGATATGGTTGGAATTGGACTCTCCTGACAGGATTTAGAGTTCTCTGAGGATTTTGTGCTGATTATATTTGAAAACATATTGTAATTTATCTAAGCAGCAGAATTACTTTTGTTCCATCTATGCATGCCTCGTCACTCTTAGGGGGGTAGCTCAATTTCTAGTCAAGCAACACTGCTGCCTCTTTCAGTAATTACTCTGCTATCATCCTGCCTCCAGTGGGTAACCTCAGACCACTATTATCTATTCCCTTCTCATTACATTTTTCCTCTGCCATTGCTTTGAGAAGTACTCCACAACCACCACAGGCTGAGAAAAGCACATCCTAAATCAGAACTCCCTACTGGCAATTTCTGAAGATGTTGCTTTGCTTAGAGCAATACACACCAATGGGCTATGCTCAAAACCCTGACAAGTGACAACGGAGAGAACAGGACGTCTCCTTACCTTATTTCCCTTAATGTGAGCTACATGAGAACTTCAGGAAATGGCTTAATGGCTAGAAGAATAATCAACAAAGTGTTTTGTCTGAAAGCAGATACCAATTCTATACTGAACTTCTACCAAAACATTCCCAAGCTCACAAGTGCATTGGATATATGAATTGCATGCAGCCCAGACTGCCAACTTGTTCTTGTCTCGCTCGAGACAACGCACTGAGGATATTATGGGGCTGAGCTAACACTACATTTGGCACAGTTTGCTCTGTGTGCTTAATGCTGCCATCAAGAACTTCACCTTTCCAGCATGAGAGAAGAGTGCCTCTTCAAACTGCCACTTCTCAAGGCAAGAAGTATGAAGTGTACAATAGCAATCAGGATTCCAATTCCTATTGCCATAACTTTGAGAGGTTGTTTTCTTTGTTTGTTTTATTAAATAAGACCAAGGGAAGAACTGGAAACAGGCATAGCTGTTCTGAATACAGAGGAAGGATCTGAGACCAGGGTACAGTGGCAGGAGATGCCAGTGGGATGGGACAGCCTTCTGTTCGGGTCATCAGACATTTTCTATACAACTAATTATTTGTTAAGAATGCCATTTTCCACTATGACTCTGCTGACCTTCAATCAGTAATAAAATGTTTCACTTGCGTTCAGAGATCTGACCTCAGCCTTATACGGAATTTGGGAGCTCACAAAGAATGCAGTAAAGCTCTTGTCCCTTCTCTGAGGCAAATATTCTTTAAGGAGAATAATGTTAGAGATCCTTTGAGAAATGTAGGAATTTCAAGATCAAGCTACAGCCTGGTTTCTAAGGGAAAATTAAGTTCTGCTGTCCAGATTTTTTTTTTTTTCTAAAGTGTATTTTTCACAATATAGATAAACTAAGCATTGAAAATACTAAGGTGAAGAGCAAATTTTTTTTCATGGATCCAATATGATGAACTCTCACAAACTAAGTTTTAACACTACAGATAAGATGATCTTGAATACTGCTGGGTTAATCTGTTCCTAGGAAGCAGATTCTAGGCTTCCTATCCACCTGATACAACACGTTGCTCCTGCATGCAGAATCTCACAGCAGCAAGATTGTGGGACAGGTCACTCCCAAGATTTCCCAAGGAAACTCCTGACCATGGGATTCATTTCTGCTAAAAAACTGGGTCATAGGCAGATTTGACTTCTACAGCTCCCCTCTGACAGTGGTAGTGGCTATCAGAAAGCTGTCTGAATGCAGGAGCTGGTGCAGGCCTTGGGCTCATCAGAATGAAATGGCAGTTGGACAAGTTCTGGCTGCATCCAGGCGTACAAATCCCAGTTCACTTGCTGCAACAAGACCACAGCAGTCCAAGCTGTGTAAGATGTGTACTCTGACAAAAGTTACAGCAGCCTAATTTCACCCAGACTCGGAGAGAGTTTTAACTAAAAAAAGCCCATTTTTTTGGTTTTCCCACTTATCAGAGAGCTTTTGCAATGAAGTAACCTCTCAGAGCTGAATTCATTGGTGTATTCCTATCAGGAGTCTAAGAATTCCTATTTACTTAGAAGAACAACAGCCTTTCATTCACTGACAGAAGCAGGGTGATGTAAGGCAGTCTGAATTAATATTTTCAGAACGCTATTTCAAAACAGGGTGTTTTTGGACTGCACTTTAAGCAGACTGAAGGTACAAACACTGAAACTTTGGTTGCCAGATGAAAACTTCCGTATCAAACCAGGACAAAAGTGGAGGTTTGTGAGGAAAACATCTGCCTAAAGCCTCCCATTTCTGCTCTTTTTCAGAACCAGCATTTCAAAATGAAGATCTTAGCACTTGACAGCTTCCTCATGAGAGATGATGCCATGCTTTTCACCACCTTCCAATGATTGATATATAACAAAAATGCAGGTTTTTTGGGAAGTGTATTCATTTTGCTGAGGTGCTTTGAGACAATTCATACATGGAATTCTCTAAAGCTTCAAGTTGCTTTGGAGATAGGAGAAAAAAATTTCACCTCTTCACGCAGCCATCCTTCCTTGAGGCAGGTATCAGATAGAGAAAGGCTCCTCAAACACTGGCTGGAAGAAATAAAGTCCAGGTTTTCTAGCACTGCAGACTAATTGTTTTGGCTCTGACTGCCTCCTGCTAAGCAGGTTCAGGCTTTTACTTCTCTGGCTTATGCTTAGGAGGCCCCACTCACACAGGAAAGTAAAGCAGAGGCTTGATAAGATTTGATTTCAAGGCTGTTTCAGAACAAACATTTTTTAAAGAATGAGATCCAGTGCACAAAGCTATTTAATACTGAATGCAAGAATGGTTTTTGTCTCCTCTAGTCACACTTCTAGTGAAGGCACCCCAGGCAAGAGGGGCAGTGCAAACTAGAGGAGCATAAATAGTCTAAATCAGTGTCTGGGGAGCTCTGTAAACAGAGGGCATGTGGAAATGCTCTCCCCTGTTAGTTTCAAATAACACTAAATATCTATTCTCAATGCCCAAAGTACTGAAAAAGCTTAAACTAGCACATCAGCATCAGGCAGAGAGCTCTGGAACACTATTATCCCAGAAGGAAGCAGACAAATACACAAAAAATGTATACTGTACCTAGACTAGGAAGGGGCCAATAAAGAAAAGTGACTTTCCAAAGCTTCTGACACTACCTCCTACTGTAATTGTAAGAGATTTTTAAAGTCTAAAAATCTGTGCAAGAACATCAATGCACTTTGGAGTGGACACTTGTGTTTGGAGGTCAGCTCCTGTACATGCTTCTCATCAGAAACCTGCATCCTTCAGTCAACCTGTCTCACCAGTGAAACTTGAAATCTTGCCGTATTCTACAAAGAGGAGGATGTGGAACTGCAATTCCCATTGCCCACTGCAAAGTGCCTAAGCACAGCAAAGCTTGGCTGGCTGCAAGTAAGGGAACACAGCAAGCTTTCAGCCTCTAAGCAGTACAACCCTTAAAGGAAGCAGGCAGAACACCGTATCTACGGTACCAATGTTTTCTTTCCATCATTCTGAAATTATTAGTGCACACATTCAGAAACACAGTACCAGGTGTCACCATAGTTAATCCTAATAAAATTGTCAAATAGATTACCAGCATGAAATTTACTCCATGTAGTTAAACTGTCTCTTCCTACTTCTTCTTTACAAAAGGCACATTCCAGTGTCTACTGAAACCTGCAGGAGACTTTGCACTGGCTTTAAAGGCTTCTTCAATATTCTTCAAAGCTTCTTCAAAGCTTCTCAGGAATTTCTCAACAGAGATGACAGGTGAGATTAAATTTCAAATTTCAAATTAAATTCTTAGAAAACTTACTGCTGGGAAATGTCAAGAATAGGGATATTTGTTTGGAGTCAGTTTGGGCCAGAAAACATTTCTCAAAAGAGAAGAGAGTTGAAGAGAAGGTGCATGGACAAGATTTGGGGGTGATTTAGGGGCACTTCTGCTTTCAGTGCTTTCTGTTCCCTCCTCAAAAATGTAAATTAACATATCAAATTCAGGGTGACATTTCTGATAAAGATCAGTTTAAATATAATACCAGAGGTCTTTCAACTGAACAACAGAGTGAAAATGTCATTTTTACCTGCAAAAACTGCCAGTGCAAGCTGCTGCTGAATCCAGATCAGCCGCTATTTGGCATGAACTCACCAGTGCATTTAATTCTTTCAGTCCCAGAAAACTTAATCTGATTTGGAGTATAGCAATGTGGTGGATCACATTGTTGCAGTGGTATAATAATGGGAAGGCATTAGATCAGAACAGAAATTGCTCTCTATGACAGGCTCTTGCTGAATGCACAAGGCACATATTTCAAGTACAGTTAACACACATTACTAAAATGCTGTAAGGTAAACTATTTTCTTCCACAAAAGGTCTATCTTTCTACATTTTCTATATGGTAAGAATGTAATAAGATGTCCCAACATCTTCTGTGCTTTCTCTATCAGATAATCTCTACCTTTCGCCCTCTGAAAGCCACTCCCTTTTCATTATGAAACTAATGCATTAATTAATGAGACAGCTGCCTCAGTAGGAGTCAGCAAAATGCACTGACCTATTCCTTTCTCAACCAGATCAACACCTTGTAAGAAGCTGGAGAACTTCTAGTAGCCATAGGCAGTCTGTCACAGCTTGTTATATGCTGGTACAGGGACCACAGTCAAAGAGCAATCGGCTCCTTTCCATTAGAATTCCTGCTATGGGACAAACCTTGCACTGCTCTCTCCTGTGGGATGCTTATATCATAGAGGACAACACAGGTCAGCGTCTCTCCAGCTGTTGTGCCAAGGAAGCAAGAAATTGCTCTGGCCTAGAAGTAACATAAGAAATGACAGCACAGGGGGAGAAAAACAAATCCTCCCACTGCAATTCCAAGCAGAGACCAGAATCACTCTGCTGCTATATTGGGTAGGGATTTCTGGCAGAAAAGAGCACAATTCTCCCATTTCTGTATGGTAAACCAGGCAATGACAAACAGATTTGCATGTCTCAGACAACAAATCCTCCCTTTTTATTTCCCATATTTTACCACTTCAAGGTCTGCTGACTAACAGGCATCCAGTCAACTGAAGACAGCCTCACACGAGTTTGCTGAGCAGTGTGCTGCTGTTGCCTCGTACTCTTCTGCCAAATTATACTGAAAACCAAGACAGACAGCAGATAACTTCATAATGGCTTCAGTTACCTTGAGCCTGGCTCATGGAACAGGCACATGCCTGGAGTTGGGCTTAGGATAGGCTCCAACACGCAGTGACCTTGTAAGACAGCTACATCTCAGTAGCTCATAAAAATGCAACCAGCACCTGCTGCCACACAGCAAAATCCCAATATAGCGTTTAATAAATCAGAAACCTACCCCGATCCTGTCAGCCCCAAACCAGCCCTGCTCGATGGCTGCCATTTTAACTCCATAGACGCCGCGAAAACGTGGAAGGGCTCTCTCCTTTTTCCCCATCGAACACGGGGGGTGCAGGAGGAGGAGACAGGGGCACCCGCGGGAGGGAGGGAGGAACAGCCTCGAGGGGCGGAAACTACAGAGGCGGCCCTCAGCATCGCCGGCTCCTCAGTGCGGGAGGCGGGCTGGGCGCTGAGGCGCGAGGGAGCGCGCGCCCACGTCGTGAGGCCCGGCAGCTCCTCCTGGCAGCTGCCTCGAGCGCAGCTGAGCAACGAAGAGGTGGGACAGGCGGACACACCGAGGTGCTCAGCGTGTGTGCCTGCGTGGTGGAGGATGCAGCATTTACATAGGAAGACCTGAATGCTAAGACCTGTATATGAGAAGGCCACGAGAGAACTGCTTTGCTCAATAGCATCTGGGTTGTTACTATGTGCTATTGGCCACAAAAATCTTTCTAATGCATATAGATAAAACCAACCACTGTGCTGTTGTAAGGCTCAGAGACAGTGGCAGAGGGAGAATACAAAGCTCCACAGGCGTCAGCTATGCTCCAGAGAAACCATTGCCACACTGGCTTAAAGCATGACTGGTCCCACAAAGCACTGCGCCTCCAGGTAGGAGCCAGCATCCCTTAGCACAGGGAGCAGAGAGATGAGGTGTTTCTGCTCGTCAGCTACTGCAGTACGTAGCCCACATTGAGACAAAGAATGGATGTTGGTGGAGCAAAGACACTAACCTGTGCAAGGGAAGGGCCCAAGCACAGATGCTGTTCTGAGAACAGGGAGCTTAGCGGGTGGACAGCAGGAGCAATCTCGGCTTCTGTGGCTTTGCCGAGTTGGATCCTTGCCCGACTTAACTTGGATGGATCAGTGCTCATCTGTCATAGCCTCCAGTTTGGTAAAATACACCAAGCCTTACAATGAACACAGCCTGTCTGAAGCCTCTTCTGAAACACTCCATGAAAGGACAACTTAGGTGAGATTCTGAACACTGGCACAGAAATCCCATTTGTTCTGTATAAGCTTAAAACAGTAGCTATCTTTCCTTTCTCTACTCTGGAGTAACTTACTTCACCATAGCTGTTTTCTGTGAGGTAACAGAAGCTCCACTTTAATGTTCATGAACTTTCAGAGAATTCTGAACATGGGGTAACTAAAAAAAAAAAATTAAAAAAAAATTGAAATTATTGGGTCATCTCAGACCATAATGGTGTTCCATGAGTCCCCGAGACTGATTTGAGAGAAGAGACACCTGTGTTGCTGTGCTCCGTGTTAGTTGTACAGCACAGGTAGCCAAAGTAAAGATAACGTGGGAGTTGTGCCTAATAACACACCTCAAAACTGTGGAGGAGTTGAAAGCATAATGGTGTAACAATCAGAAAGATTAATACAGTAGAATAGCAATACAGAAGGTATAATAACAAAGGAACTAGCACAAATAGAAAGGCATTACAAAGGGAAAAGTGCTCACCCATTTCCGAAGATTTAGGTTTACAGGGAAAACTCCACAAAGGAGGACTCCCCCAACCAAAGATCCTTCCCCAGTGCCAGTCAGCCCTTAAATGAGCTCTGGGAGGGGAGCAACCAGGTTCCACCCCTTCCAATCACACAGCTGCATTGCCTTCACCTGTGCTCCCAGGGCTGACCCGGTCCTTTCCCCAGGTGCTCCATCAGTGGTTCAGGCCAGGACTCAGCAGTTTCCATGCAGTATTAAAGAGGTAAGTTGCACTGTAATATTCTTAAGGGGTTATTTCGGGAGAAACAGCAAATTCACTACTGTATTAGCAATGCCGACTGGATTTTGTTGTATTCATCTAGTTGACTAACTTAGAAAGGACAGTAACCGCTTCTCAGAGTTACTTGAATAATCAGTGAAATTATGCCTGGTATTATCTGTTATCCACAGAGCAGATCTGGTTGAAGACTTGTGTAATGTCTGGACCAAGAGCAAAATAAACCTTTTGTATAGTATAAAGCAGTTTTAAAAACCAATGACTTCTGGTGTCTGCAGAATTACGGAATACAAAATCTTCAAATTTAGGGTAGGTTTTAACACCAAAATATAGTATTCTTTTTTCCAGGATTAAATACAGTGTTACAGACAGCTGTGTCCCACACATGCCCACACATAATATACTGACTGAAGTAAGACTTGGTGTCTTAAAAAGAAATTGTTGAAGTATCACGTGAAAATAGTAATACCCTCACAGATTTCTTAAGTGAGGCAGGCAGATAACTAGATAAGTGACTGGCAGTCTTACATTTTTTCTCCTTTAGTAGTCTCAAAACAGCACCACAACAGTATGTTCAGACTAATGCTTCATGCAAACCACAGTCCAGTGGTATGTGTCTACTTCACCGTCACCATAGCATTGCTGCTTACAGCCTCTGATCCAAAGTTTGCATGGGGAGACGGGTCAGCTTAGATATTCAAAAACTCTTGGATAGTCTTCTCTCTTTCAAAATCACTAGTAAAACAGTGAACAGTCTCTGAGAGAATAACATGCTTAGATAGAAGAACAGATGAGGTGCCAGCAGATGGCACTCAAGAATGTGAGCAAGCACTCCTGAGCAAGCGGAGAAAATGGTTGTGTGGTGCACTGTCCAGTATTCGCATGCAGGCTGTATGTGCCCTGTATGTTCCTAGACTGAACTCAAGAAGAGTAATTAGTAGTGCTTTCAGTGTTTCACATCTTTAATCAGGAATATAAATCCTGTCTTCAGTTTAGGAAATCTTCACACCTGGGACCAAAGTACTCTATGAAGTAGCTTCTTTCTGCTTTTGGATTAAAACCAGGTTTTGCTGCATCATGGATAAGCTGAGCCATTGCTTCTAATTTTTTTGCCAAGTTCTAGAAATTTTATTGCCTCTTCCTTAGGTTCTGGCAGTCAGTTTGAGGAAATGAAACTTGGATGGTTTATGTGTTAAGAGCTCTTCCTAAAGAACAGCTTTGGTCTCTAGACTGCTACTCTTTACTGAGATCACTGCAGAAGGTTATTTCTACTGGTCTTATGAAATAAGTTAATGTCCTCCTATAATTTAATTTTAATTAACAAAACTAAAGAGATTCTGTCTGCTAGAATTTTACTGTTGGAGTCTAGGAAATGTTTGGAAAGAAACATCAGGCTCCATCTGTTTATAGCTGTCTGTCACTGACCTTAAATCACCTCAGATCTATCAGCTAACCTTCCAACTTGCAAGAGGTCATGACTTCAGTTGATGTGGAAGATAAAGTTACATCTTAGAAGGGTGACTTCAACTAAGGAAGGGAGTCTTGTTACTCTAATTAATGAAGTTTGCCCTCAATTTGCTGACAAGACTTTTCGTCTATGATTTATACCTGGACCCTAGGGAATTTGAAGGGCTTTTTCCTTGTTTTTACACTGTGACTGTGTTGAGTATACCCAGCATTCTTACACTCTGGAGTTTTCAAAGTGCCTGAGTCATACTTTTGCTTGTGTTTCTTTGGTCTAATATGGGCAGGTAAAAAAGAAGTCTGCCAATGCCAAAAGCTTTTTCCAGCACTCTCCCTGTAAGGCTTAGAGACTGAATATTAAACTCTGGGCTAAAGTCCAGCATGCTGAATCCACAGAGGTTTCATAAGTTAAATAAAAGAACTAAAAAATATTTCTGCAGTTTCAAGTCTATCCACAGCACCATGGGACTGAGTGTGGCATGGATCTGAAGCTCTTGAAAGAGTCGAATGCAATTTCCCCTATGAACATAGCTGTACAGTGGTTAAAAACTTAGCACTTAAATTGTATCTGCTGAAAGGTTGGTATGCAAGTTAACATGACAGTATTTTTCTTTTGGTCTGAAATATGGTTTACATTGGTAATACCATTTCAAAATATTTTTGTGGTTTATATTCTGGTGGTTTTCATTTATTTGTTTATTTATTTTTGTTGTTGTTTAATAGCCCATGAAAATAGGGCTTAATTAGAAAGCTGACATTTTGTACCGAACTGTTTTTCTCTAAGAAAGGCAAAGAAATGAGCCACACATGCACACACAGGCAGCATTTCTGGCTTCCAGCCCACTCTGAGATTAGCCTGCAGAAAAATTTATTGCCTATTTCCAGAGAGGTCATCTGCCATTCACAAATGTCTTAATTATTTGAGTTAAATTACAACAACTCCAGTTGCCATACATCTGTGGATAGATTTTCCTCCAAACTGTGTAGTCACCCTGATTGAGGGAAGAGTTGGTTAAAAACTGGGACTGAACTAAGTAAAAGAAAAAAAGAAACTTACTTGAAAATTACACATCTGTGTTTACACCTAAACTATTATGTGAGAGAGTGGCCTGGAAACTTGCACAGAAATTCAACTCTGAATCCATCTGTTTGTTTATGTTCTGATTTCGAGCAAGTCCTGCTTTACTGAGTTTTCTTATCCCCATCAGTTTTGGCTGGTAGTCCTAGTTAAGCCAAAGAGATTAACTAGGGTTCTTCTCTAAATACTGGTTAGTATAGTTGATCTGATTGCATTATGAATTATGGTCCTTGCTGCGGGGCTTGAAGGCACCTTGTGGTGAGACTGAAAGTTAAGATAGTTTTCATCCTGAAGACCTGATCTGTTTGGGAGACAGCAGATCCCTGCGGAGCCTGTAGGGCCATTGGAAGCCTGGCAAGAATTTTGATTCCATGTTGTAGAGAGACATTGTGGAGGAACTGAGGAGGGACTTTTTATAAGGGCACTTAGTGACAGGAGGAGGGGAAATGGTTTTAAACTGGAAGAGGGCAGATTTAGACTAGATAGCAGGAAGAAATTCTTTACTGTTAGCGTGGTGGGACACTGGAACAGGTTGCCCAGCGAGGCTGTGCATACTCCCTCCCTGGAAGCATTCAAGGCCAGGCTGGATAGGGCTGTGAGCAAGCTGGTCTAGAGGGAGGCGTTCCTGCTTATAGCAGGGGGATGGGAATGAGGTGATCTTAAAGGTCATTCCACAATTCTATGAAACATATATTTATACTGTGGCTATATAAATAAAGCTTTAGGGGACTCAAGTGGAGAACATAGCTATATAAAAACTCAGAATCATTTAAGTTAGGGTTTGGAGGTAAGTACCACAGAACTGTCATGGAATCTGGAAAAAGACCAGATAAAAGAGTGGATAAAGTGAGATACAATCAGCACAGCTGGAGATACTAACTGGGCCAAATGAAAGGCATGAAAAATGAAGCTGAAGGAATAAAAAGCAAACAAAGCAGACTGGATGAAATGGTGGAAATAGAAAGCAAGCAAAGAGGACCCAGAAGGTCGACCTCTGCTTGGCCTATGCAACAACCATTCCTAAATGAATTCAGCACAAGCTTGCTGAAAATGAGCAAAAGGTTTTGTAAGTGATAGTGTATGCTGCAGGAGAGAAGCAATAAGTGGAAATGGGATGCAAGTTGTATACTGCAGGAAAGATGACCTGCAAGATAAGTGTACACATATTTTCCCATGTTGCATAGTCCTATGCACACTCAATAATCATTTGTAGATGGTGGATTGGTCTTTAAGCTATTAGCCAAAATTCCACAGAAGGCAAATGCTATCTTGATTGGAACTTGCAGCAGAGAGGAGGGGCCCAACATTTGATTAAGAAGCTGGCTTGCACTGGTCTAAATTTGAAGTAAGCTCATTTCCCAAGATAGAATCAAAAAAATCCAGATTTGGGGACGTTTACTTGTGGCAGTTTTGTGCTTGTTTTTGTTTTACTTCTTTTCAGATCACAGTTAAAATGCCTTAGTAACAAGAGAGTCTTGATTCTGATTTTACAAGGCATTTCATACCAGGACAACTTCACAGACTACAGTTGAATTACTTCCAAATATGCTAGCGTAAATGACTCAGAATTAGACCCAGGGTGCTCATGACTTCACAATTCTTCAGGCTCCTGAATGACTCATTTTCTTATAAGTGACATGGGCACATGCAGAAGTTGGAGCATCGATGGAGATCAGTTCTAAACAATTGCTGTTGTGAATAAAGTTTATAAACAGCTGACATTCATTGCACTCGTACATTCTCTCCTCTCAGAGTGCTAAAATGTTGCCTGCCTGCATTAAAGCATATATAATTCAATGTTTATTTTCACACAATTCAAATGGCTACCACAAATGGCAATTCATACAATCATCAAAGCAAACAAATGGTAAATGGGCACACGATAGGGAAAAAAAAATCATTTGATAGAATTCTGTCTTAATGAGACAGCCAAGAGCCTCACAGTATTCTGTCTCGCCTGTAGGATCCCAGTGCAAGTGACAGGTCTTGGCAGACAGCTTCTGAAGAGAGGCAAAAGCATCACACTGAGCTCACAGCTGCAGTCAGTCTTGGCAGATGCTATTTCATTGCCATACTTGGGATTTCTCACTGGGGACGAGGTTCCAGCTGCTCCCTCAAGCTGAATAAGGAAGTGTGAGTGAACACAGTCTTACGTTACCCTTCTCATTTGGGAGTATTTGAAATCTAATCCTCGACAATGACAGGACAAGACAAAACTGTGACAAAATAACATGATGGAAATTTTCATTTTGAACCTCTGCTTTCTCTTCCTGTC